GCTGTTGGACCCGCGGGATGATGGAAGCCCCGGGATGATGGGAGCCCCGGGATGGTGAGAGCCGCGGGCGGGCGCTGTGGACCATCCCTGACACTGTCCCCGTTGCAGTCCGAGGTCCGCGGTTCAGGCAGCTGAAGATCGGAGCAGGTCACCGGCTGGATGTGAAGGCCTCGGGAGTCTTTGGTGGGTCTCATCCCGGAGCGGCATTGCGTCCCACCGGCTGTGAGGTGATGGGTTTCCGTGTGGGGAAGAAGCACTGAACACTCAGCCATTACACGGCAGCACCCCTGGGTCTCACAACTCAGCCAGGAATATAGATGCTAAAACACAGGAGAAATGACCCAACAAGACACTGGCAACGCCAGGGGACGGGAGCAGTCCCTTACCCATGGCACACAGGGCTTTGCTGTGAGACACCCAGCTCCTGCCCGGGACACCATCCGTGATCTGCCACGTAACCGCCCATCTCTGCTCCACCACTTGAATTGGCTTCACCGTGGTGGGCACTGCTAGACGTTTGCCACAAAGTACCCAGGTGGAAAGTTCTGGGAAATCCAAGTGCCCTTGTTACAGGCTTATCGTAGTTTAAATGACAGGCAGTAATTTGGGGGTCCAATTGCACTGCTCAGACACGGCTTCTAAGGAGAGATGGCCACATCCAGGGGGGAAGAAAAGCAGCGTGAGTGTGCAGCGCTGTGTCAATGCCCGTCAGGAGCTTTACATGTGGCTGAATAACATGTTCCCCATCTTCTGTGTTTCAGTACTCGGCATAGGCCACGGGAACAAGCTACTCACTGACCTGTACAACTGCCACCTGACCAAGGTAGGTGATGGCTCTGAAGGGCCCCAGAACATCCGAGCGCAACCTCACCCTCGAATCCTGCCCCGGTGCCCCAGGCTGGCCTTGTGGCGGTGATTCTGCTTTAGAGTCTCAAACCCACCAATGCTTTTGAGAGCTTTTCAGGGTCCAGAATTTTGTCCTTCACGTGAGTGTCCACACATGGCTGTATGAGCAGAGGACGCTGCTGTCTTATTGTGCAACACCACCATAGCCTGCGCTTCCTCGCTGCTGCATGGCGGAGTATTGCTATTCAATTGCTTGGTGTATTTCTTTGACTAATTGCACTCTTTGCTCTTCTTCAAGGTTTACACTGTTGGTGGGCTGTTCGGTAAAGCCACTGATGACTTCTCCGACACAGGGAAGCTAGTAGAGAAGACAACATTTGGTAAGAAACTGAACTGATGTATTTTTTTTTAAAAAAAAGGAACACCAAACAAACAGCATGCTAACTGTGAAGCATTTAACCAGGTAAGTTGCACAAAGATGAAAGGTGTGCCTTGCGTGCTTTCTAGTCATTATTTTTACACGCAGCCCACGTGCAATCCAGACATCACAGTCCATGTGTTCTAAATACAACCACAATACGCACAAAGCCAGTATGAGTCCTGATGACAGTGGTTGCTGCTGGATTGGGTGGCGCCCAGATCTCTCCGTAAATCATACATGGAGATAGCGGTTAGAAGCTTTCACTCAATGAAACTCTTCAAACACCCGATAAGAGAAACTGGAGCCAACATCTTGAAATCAATTAAGCAAAATGATTCTTCCCTTTTTAGTCCAGCGCTGTGCTGCTCTGTGCGTTACCATGGCGCAGCCTGGAGCAGTGACTCTGCTCTGCTGAAGCCACCTCTCGGCAGGTCTTGTCAACCCATCTCGATGTGACTGCCTGCCAAAGGGACCGTAATACCCTGATGGCACATTTCAGACTGCTGTCTCTTTCCAGTTTCTGGATGGATAATTGAGAGTTCGTTTCTGCCTTAATATTTGCAGATCATATCACAAGGGAGAAGCTGGAACGGATTCTCGCTGTCATTCAAGGAACAAATCATAAGGCCCTGCTGATGTACGTATCCAGTGGGGAAACATATCTGACCTCATCTGACTGCCATTTGCTGGTCTTTAAAACAAATGAGATGATTTTGTTTGCCATAATCAAGTCTTTAAAGGTTGGAGTGCTAGACAAGAACAGAGAGAAGTTACTCTGAGTGCTCTGTATTCTGGCGAGAGGTTGCAGTTAAGTGTCCTTCTTGTATCCTGAAATCTCCAGCTATTTTAGGACCTATTAGCTACATTAGGACCTACAAAAATATCTTGCAGACGTGACCAAGTACCTCCCTCCCAAACTGTGCTATGCTGACAGTACACGTATCATAGCATTAAAATGTATGCAAAGACTCGTCACAAAGGCAGTTTTAAGAATAAAAATCGCGGTTCTACTTTATTGGGGGTGGAGATATTTTGCATCCCATTGAAAAGAAGTAGTAAGTGTCTGCATTGCTCACTTTTTTTTTCTTATTCCAGGCATTCTAACATTGATATGAAATCACAAGAGGCATACGAGCTGGCTGTCAAAGGGTTGATTCGCCCCATGGGAAAAACCCCTCCGATAATCACAGCAATCCGCTGCCTCCAATTCACACTTCCAGAATTCCAGCTAGGTAGGACCGGTACAAAAACTACTGGGGAAGTCTGAGTGTATATTATGGCAAATAAGTCAGTAAACTTCAGTTTCTTACTCGCAATTTAAGGCAAAATAAGTTGGTGGGAACTTCGGATCAACTTGTAACTGGTAATCCCTGCAGAAAATGTAATGGTTTGTAGTTTCCAAAGCCACAAAAGCATGTCCTCGTTAGATTAACTCTGTAGTGTGGTGCAAAGATTTTTTGGTAGCACAAGATCTGGAGCCATCACAGTACTGAAGCTGCTGCAGTAAATCAAGCCAGCTGTGCACCCAGCTCACAGGTTTTTCCCTGCCAGTTCCACATCTAAGACGGAGGCAATAAAATTTGCAGCATGAACACTATAGGGCAAACATTCTTCCTTATCCTAATATTTCAGTGTAACACATTTCAGTGGGGTTTTTTGTTTTGTTTTAAAAGTGTGATTTGCTTTCCTGCAGCCAGTCTCCCTACTCCTCGCAAAGTATTTGTTTTATTAAAAAGGTATCTCTTCTTATCCCCTTTGAAATACCTAAATATCTACATTACTTTCCTGTACCTATAGGTTTGTTTTCTAAAACATTCACTTTGGGAGGGGCTAGGACACCCTGCAGTATTCCAGACAATCATAATCCACCTGTGCTGTATCTTAAATAGTCTCTTCTACCAAACCAGTTCTTTCGGCATAATGATGTCGGGATTTACAGACCAGGTCTGAGTTTGTGTCAACACTTTGCTGCTTCTGATAGCAATCTCTCTGTCCTTCCAGAAATCCATTGCTTGCATGAGACTCAGCAGTACCTCCGAAAAATAGTTCATGAGATCGGTTTGGAGCTGAAATCATCTGCTGTGTGCACACAAGTGCGAAGAATACGCGATGGTGTTTTCACACTGGATGATGCTCTCCTGAGAACCCAGTGGAACCTGCAGAGTATACAGAATGCAATTTGGGACTGTCAGCTTAAAGTGAAAACAGAGTTAGAGAAAACACTAGGCCATCAGGATAATAGTCGTCTTCATCAGATGGATGCTGAGATGGCCCACGCTGCCGACAGCTGAGTGTGTGCTACAGAGGGAACGTCCACAAGCAATCTCTGTCACACAATAACGCAGCTACATGCTGACAGCGTGATGGACAGCAGAAGGAAAGAGGTTAATTGCAGTTCACTTCCACCCTTTCCTTGGGATGACTTTAATCAGAGAGGCATTTTTTTTTTCCGTGACAGGCTGTATAATTTTTTTTAAAGCATCGCAAACAGTTCATTAACAGGAGTTAGCTGTGCCAAAATTCCTGTTGACTTCGGGAACATTAGGTTGCTAAGGGATATAAAAACCCATCCCCAAATTGTTTAGCAGCAGGAAACAGACAGTGTCTTACAGAGCTGTATTCCCTTGATTGCACGGATTTGTTTGTTCCTTGCAAGTGGCAGCATAACTTATCTACTCCACAGATTTTATTTTCCCTCTGTTGTCCCAGAGTATTTTCTTTCCATTAGTCCTGCTTTCAGACACGTATGAGCTCAAAATCAGACTGAGAGAGGGACGTGCAGGAGAAAACACAGCTTACACAAAGCAATGCAAGGAAATGGTTAGGTTCAGAGTAGGCATGTGTGATGCGGAAAGTGACTTGTAATAGGGACTGATGCATAAGATACAAGAGAAATAAAACTGAAAGTGACCTAAACGGAGAGAGGTTGGGTCGTG